AACTCTTACTGATTTCTTGGCACATCTCCCATACGCCTCCCTTGGGATCTTGTATCCCTTGGGATCTTGTCTTGATCTAAGTATTTCTTCTATCTCTGCTGCTTATTCATTCTTTTGAACCTTCAATACACCTTTCAATAATCTTTTCCTCACTTTAGGGGTTTCTTTCTGTGTATCCCCTTCTAACTTTTGATCTCTTGAAGTGTAATTTACCGTTTCTATTTCAGTTTTTATTATCTCTTCTTTTTTATCTTTTTGTATCATTTGTTGTTTTCCCTCCTCTCTCCTTTCCTCTGTTCTTTTTATTTTCTCCTCTACTTCCTGAATTTCATGTTTACTGTTCAGTGTCTTTTGCTCATAATTTTCTGGTCTCACAACTATGTCATGTATCAATTCTTTTATCTCCCTATGGTTCCTTGTCATCATTTCCTGCATACCTTGGAGCATCAATAATATTTCTTTTAGTAAGACATTTATTTTCCCCTGCTGTCCCATTTTGCCTTATTTTAATAAATTTAAATTTTTACTCAGTAACCTGTCAAAATTCCAATGTCCCAGTCACACCAAAATAGCCAATATTAGACCAGTTCACACAATCACTCCATTAAATAGTTCCTTAACAATCTCCGCTTTGTTTCAAAACGCTAAGCTGTTTCACACTCTCACACTGTCCAGTATGTTTATAATCCTCAAGCTTCTAACAGTTGAATGTTTATGTTTTCACAGTCTGTCTCCAGGCATGAAATATAATCAGTTTGCAGGTGTTGTTTGATGTATTCCAGCTAATCTGCCCTAGTCTTAACAACTTTTGCTTCTTCCATCTTTTCCAGCTGTATATTGCCTTCCTCAGCCAGCAAATAAAATGCTGCAAATAAAATGTATCCAAAAATATTTTCCAATAATTTCCCAAAGTCCTTCAAATCAAGGTGGTAGTAAAAGTATAATCCAGAATTTTGAAACAATTTAAATTTTGAAAACTAACCAATCCAATCTGTCCTTTATTTTTAGAATTACTTCTGTCTACAATTTATTTTCTTTCTTTTCCAAATCTGACAGTAGCTCCAGGTCTTAGTCGCCGCTATTTACCTCTACTGAGTCCCACTTTCCAAAGGAGATGCTTTAGGGGAAATTCCATGGCAAAAGTTAGAAGAGTTCTTACCCAGACCGAGCACACTGTTACAAGATCTTTCCTTTCTTCTCTTCCATTTCTGCTGTCATCACAGCTTTGGTTCACCCATAATGGCCATCTTCTCTTCTGCCTGTGCAATGGGCTTTCTTTGGGTCAAAAGGGAAGATTGCACTCTCCTCACAAACACCGAAGCATTCCCTCTATCTTTGTCACCCCTTCAGGGTGACTTTCGGCCTTGTAGAGCCTCTGGGCTGAAGAAATTGGAAGGACTTCACGGAACTACCACTCGCCCACACTGCTTCACCGCAGCATCGGCTGCCTTCTCTGCTGTGGGCTATATTATGGGTCATATTTATATGTTGTTGTTTCCCTGTTGGTTGGTTGATTGATGTATTGATAGCATGTGATTGGCTGTTGTTTCATTGTGCTGCCAAACCCTTGGTTCTTAAGTACCTGATAAGCTAGTGGTAAATCACCCTTCTGTTGAGTGACAAGAAGCCCATTTCTCAGACTTAAATCGTTTATCTGGCTATCTTTGTAGCTGCATGGCCAACAATCTTAGTAGCTTTGAACTTGAATGTATGTCATTGTTCATTGCAATGTAAGGCTATCCATGAGTTTGGCATTCTCGTCTGACTGCTTACTTGTATTCTGACTTACTTTCCATCTGTCCTCCATAGTCATAGTCCTTTCTTTCCATTGCATGCTGCCCAGGCACTTCTAGAAAAATGCTTGTAGGTACCCTGTCTGCCTGAATTATTCATGTAGGTCCCAATTGTTTAGCTTTCTGGGTACTAAAGTGGGTTGTCACCCTGCCATATAGTGTGCGATGATTTAGGATAAACAGGGAGGAAGCTAACCACCAGATTGCAAGAATGCAAGTGAATGGTCAGACAAGGGGACTTGTACTCATTGGTACCTTCACAGTGCAATGAACAAAGACATACATTCAATTTCGAACCTACTGTGCAGCTACAAAGATAGCTTTGTAAATAATTGAAGCCCGGGAAACTGGGACTCTTGTCAGGCAACAAAAGACCTTTTAAAACCTTAAACTTAGACACTGATGAATGTTTGACATATCATTTGATGATTTATTTTCCCCAGATTACTTCAAAAGTATAATTATGTTGGTGCAATGGTTTCTATTTAATATTACAATGTTTTTACTGCAGAAGAATCTTGAAGGAAATATACAGTTATACAACCACCCCAGATAACTAATTCATACAATTTTTTTTTTCAGGACCAGAACTATGCTTTGTTCCTTTACCTAACTCGATTCTTGGTTCAAGTTATTCATTGGATGGTAAGTTTCAGTAAACAGTTGGGTAGATGTGTCAAGATTATTGGGACTATGATTTATATTTTCAAAGTACGAAATTGTTCAATCCACATTTTAAATGTATAATTGCTAACAGTACGATGGATATCTAAACCGTTGGCTTTTCACATATAAATGAAAGTCCCTAGAAGATTTGTTGATATACAGATGCAATCCATCAATCAAATCAATCCATCTCATCAAATTACTTTATGTCAACTTGTAGTGTCAGTCCCATAATTCAATCATGGGGAACCAGGCCAAATCCACAAAGAATCACTCCGTCATTCACTCAGTGGAGGGATTCAGACGGTTCTCACAGGTTCACCTGAACCGGTAGCTAACTGCTTGTGCAGTTTGGAGAACTGGCTGAAAATAAAGTGCAAGGGAGGTTTTTTTCCTTTTCTCTCCCTTCAGTTAATAGCTCTGGGCAGACAGCCAAGAACCACTTAACAGGCTACTTAGTTGCGATAACAGCCAACACATGCCTTGAATAAAGTAACAACAGAAACTGACAGGATTAGTGTAGGGAAACACCCAGGAAAGCCAGCAATCACCCATCTAGAGATGGCATTAACCTCTTCCTTTGAGGAAGAAGGACAATATTACAAACATTTTCATTATAAAAAGTATTAAGTAGCACTTCTGTGATCAGCTGATATTCCCTGGAGTTCCCCAAGGCCTTTTATAGCGGCTACTTCTTGTTTCTTCCTGGGAGGAAAAATACAGAAGACAATGATGCAGCTTGATCATGCAGGCTGTGAATTTAATGCGTGGTCCAGCCAGCTGTATTTGTTCTGCTGTGAAGCACCCAATTTAGAATATAGATAACATAGAATAATAGAGTTGGAAGGGTTAATAGCTTTTGGCAGAAAGCCCAGGCTTTCAATTAGCCTGAGCGGCTGTTCTTAGTTTCCCTCTCAGCTGGTGCTTTTGCTATGGGTTTGTTTTTAAGGGAATGGCTGTTTTAAGTTTTCTGCATTGTGTTAGTGGTTCCTGGCACTGTCCTTTTGGGGTGTGCTCAGTGGTGGATTCAAATAAATTACCAACCGGTTCTCTGTCCTAGTGATTGACTAGGTAGGTGTGGCCAAGTGATCATGTGACTGGGTAGGTGTGGTCAACTTGACAGCACTTACCACGTCAGGCCCCACATCCTGGCCACTTGCCTCAAAGGCCTCAAAGGCATGTGCGGCAGATACCCGACAATTAGCTGGCTGGCGGGAGGCGCGCATGCTTGCGTAGTGGATCTATTCCGGATGACGGCTCACATGCTGGCAAAAATGGCTATGTGCACCACTTCCAGCGTGCATGCCATAGGTTCGCCATCATGGGTATAGAGTCGGTATAGGCACACAAAAAGATACATTAGATACTATATATACTGTATGTGTATCCACACACACACAGAGAGAGCTCTTCTAAAACTATACACATTCAACCTCAGTTACTGAGTTTGGAAAAACACACCTAGAATCCACTTTCTGCCATCCATTTAACTATAACTTTTGTACATTAGAACATTACACATGCTTTCAGATTTACTTCCCTAGCCTGTACATGACTATTAGAGTGAGGAGATATCATGGGTATTGCCAGGGAACTCTGGGAAACAAAGGATGTGTCAGCCAGCCATGGCAGTGGGCCACCAAAGTGCACGGCTGGGGCCTACACAGCTGCCCTCCTCATCTTAATGAAGACGATGTCCTTGGCATACTGGCAGAAGCACTGGCGACACATGTTAAAACTGTCGTTGCCATCCATGCCGGTCGGAGGTCATGCAGCTGCGAGAGGAAGAGAGACCAGGTGAAAGGGACCCAGATGCTTCCCAGCTCCCCTCATCCCAGAAGCACCAATCTCACACTCTCCCCTCTCTGCTAGCAGCTGCCCCCTTCATTCTCTGCCTCCCCACCGCCAAGTGATCCTATGTTCCCTGCTGCTGCCGTTCCATAGAGCTGGAGGTGACTGGGAGGCCAGGCATTCCCACAACCTGACTGGGTGGGCAGGTGGGAAAGGGGAAATCTCGGTGATGTAACTTCTCCCCCCCCCACGGCTGCCCCTATCTGCTGGCAGCCACGGCAGGCAAGGCCCAGCAGCTGCAGAGAGTCCAAGTTGGGGCAAGATGCAGGAGGGGGAAGGGGGACCAAGCAGAGGCTGCTCAACCTGGCTCATCTTCCTCTCTGCCACCAGCTGCGGCAGGAAGGGAGGGGCAGGCAGGGATGACAAGCGTAGCCAACCAGGAAAGCTGAAACGCTGCCCAACCCAGAGCTGCCGGTGGAGGTGGGCAAAGAAGGGGCTGCTGGGCATGCCTGGCTTTAAGTTCCCAGCCCTTTTTTCTTTAAACAGCCCAAAAGATGGAGAGGAGAAAAGCACCAACTTGGCCCCTTTGTACATGTGAGACAGCAACTTTTTAGCCAGGCAGCAAAGGCAGGTGAAGATAGGCAAGCAGGCGAGGATCCAGAGAGAAGCTGAGCCACAGGTGCTGCATGGTAGGCCAGGGCTGAGGATCTGGAAATCAGCTGGGCTGCAGGTGCCTACCACACGGCAGCCATGGCTCAGCTGCTCTCCAGCTCCTTGCCCACTTGCCTGCCTTCGCCCTTGGACTGCCAGGCAGTGCCCGCGGTAGAGCTGCTCTGCGGCTCTTTGCCCTCTCACCTGCATGGGCACCGCATGGTCCAGGCAAGAAGCAAAGGTGGGTGAGGAGCAGAGATCAGCTGAGCCTGTACCGTGGGTGCCACATGGTCTAGGTGAGCAATGAAGGCAGGCAAACATGTGAGGGAACCAGAGGGCCGCCAGAGAGCAGCTGGGCCGTGGGTGTGACTTTAGGCATGCGAGTGAGGTGAGATAAGGAGTGGCTGGGAGGGGAGGGGCAGAGTGGGGTGGGTGGGACGGGGCCAGCCTGTGGTGGGATTAGCTGAACTATGTAAAAAGTTAACAACCAGTTTGGCCAAACCGGTGAGAACTGACTGAATCCCACCTCTGGGTGTACTTTCCTCACTCTTTTTGAAAGCCTCTAGTGATGGAGCACCCACAGCTTCTGAAGGCAAGCTATTCCATTGGTTGATTGGCCTCACGCTTAGGAAATTTCTCCTTAGTACTAGGTTGCTTCTCTCTTTGGTTAGTTTCCATCCATTGTTTCTTATTATGCCTTTTGGTGCTTTGGAAAACAGATGGACCTCCTCATTTTTGGAAGAGTGCTATTTTATTGTGCTATTTTATTGTGACTTGTGAGCACTATTTTATTGTGAGTTGAGGAGTTGTTTGGCAAAATTGATTAAATGGAAAAAGAGGACATAGTTGAATTTGCTTTTTAAATCCTGTCAGCAGTTCTCTAGATAAAAAATGAAAGATTAAAAAGATCACCAATATTGTAGAGCTGGGGCAATTTTTGCACTGTCAGTTCGAAACAATCTCAAAATTTCCAATGGATAAAGCACAGGGGTGGGATCTGACTGGTGTACCTACCGGTTCGGTGATTTATGTTTTGCATGCGCATATGCACTTTGCGCACGCATGTGGAACATCATCAGATGCGCTGCCTGGACAGCTAAGCAGTGCTGCGCGTGGGTGCGCAGGGTTTCAAACAGCACTTTTTTCTTGCTTTTTCAACCGCAGCTGTGCCACGAAAAGCAGCTGAGGTTGAAAAAGCAGGTAAGGGCCTGGGCGGGCGGGCGCGTGGGCTAAACAGCAACAAACACAGAACTGTTTCTGTGTCTGCTGCTCTTCAGAGCTACCGGTTCTACAGAGCTGAACAGAACCGATAGAATCCCACCCCTGAAAAAGCATATAAAAGAGGCATGGATGACTTTCCTACCTTTCTGTAGTTGATTAGGTTGTGCCAGTTTGATGAAAGGTGACTGTCTCAGCTCTCTTCTCCCTGGTGCCTCCACTTTTGTATCTTAATGTAGCTGTTTAGTGATTTCTGCTGTCATTGTCTGTCAGAGTCAATCACATGGATGTGGTTACCTGATGTTTTCCCACATAATCCTGGCATGTGAGACAGGTAAGAATTTCACAAGCTATGCCATCATTGAATAAAAAAAATAGAAAAAATTAAGTGGATAAAAATGAAATAAATGCCGTAGTGTAAGGCATATGACAAGGCAGTCAGCACCCCTTCTTCTTTAGAAGGACATCATTCTCACAAATGATTGATTGATATTGTTAGATGTTTAGCCTGTCTTTATTTCTTTATAAGGAACTCAAGGTGGAGAACTTATCTAATATTCCTTCCTCCCCTTAGTTTTGCCAAAACAACAGTCAAAGAAGTGATTTGGGCTGGGAGAGAGTGACTGGTTGGTCATTCAGCCATTTTTGAAGCCTAACATGGGACTAGAACTCAGAGTTTCTTAGTTTCTGGACCAGCACTTTAATGGCTACTTTGTTTGTAAAAATTGTATGCGAAAACAGGATTGGAGGAAACAAACTTGTAAAACTGCAAATATCACAGATAACGTTTCAGAATAATCTCCCATAGAATGATGCAAAAAAAATGACAGAGGTTGTAGCAAATTACAATTTGAAATAGATCTGTTAGTAGGAAGGGAGACTAGAAGGGGAAGTAATACGAGAATGGGAAGTAATGGGAAGTTGTAGGATGCATCAAACCTGAAGTCAAGATATTTGTTCTTTATTTGCACAATGCAAGCAAAGTGAGTGGCCAGGTTTGACAAGGAGTGGCTGGAAGGGAGGGGCAAGGCGGGGCTGGACTGGGCATGGCAAGGAGAGGCCAGGTGAGATGAAGCACCCGTTGACGTGAATGATGTTGAGTTGGCCACACCCACCCAGTCACATGATCACCCAGCCACGCCTACCCAGTCAGTCACTAGGGCAGAGAACCAGTTGTTAAATTATTTTAATCCCACTCACTCACTCACTCAAGTCTTCTCCAACTCCTATATGTCCAGTTGTAGCATTAGCAGTGAGGCAAGGACAGAAAGTGAAGATGAAGAAAAAGTTGTGTAGGTCATGCTAACAGATGTTGTCATTTATGTTCTTCATTTATGTTAAAGTGCTAATCCTTGAGCCAGCAGAAAAATTTATGGGCATAAATTGTAGACCCAACAGACGGTAGTAAGACCTGTCCATGATGCAGTCATTCTTGTTAAATGTAGGACAAGTTAAGGAAAGGGATTGGTGGATTCCCTAGTTTCACTTCATCTCCTATCAAGTTTATCCTTATACAGGAAAAGAACCCTCAGTCCTTCTCGCTATAGAGCAGTAGAGGTATGGGGTGCAGCTCTCCCTCTGTGTCTTCTTGTTCTTCTACTGAAACAAGGAAACAAGGAAACAATGCCAACGTGAAACTATTTGTTGCCCAAAATAGCAAAAACATTTCTAGGGTGTACAAGAGCGATAAAGCAATAGCAATACAAAGCAGCTACATTTTTTTTTTCCAAGTTAAATTGACTTTCTGTGCAGCAAAAAATCTCTCTCCCACGAAGTTTAGAAATATTGGTATACTATAAGTATAGTGACTGAAGAAAAAAAATAGCTAAAGATATTCTATAAGGACTCTTATACTGTGGTTAGAAGGACATGAGGAAGAGCCCAAAGAAAGATGGAAAAGATGAGTTTTCAGTTCCCACATCTGTTTTGTAATAGAATTTTAGTGCTTCCTTGCAGAGCTGTCCTACCTATAATTTTTTTCAGTTCTTACAATCATCTCGATTCTATCTCTGAAGTTGTTGTTCCATCATGACGACTCATTCTTGCTCATCTTGCTATCTTTTATTTTCTACCATTGAAAGATATTTTTCAAAACTGCTTTTGTAGTGTACATGGGCAGTTGGTGCAGGAACAGGATGGTCTTGCTATGTCTGAGCAAATTTGCTGCATTTCAGTCGTCAGTTTTAGTACAGTTTGTTCATTTGACCTACATGTATTGCCCATATTTCATTATATATTTAGCACCTCTTTTTTTCCCCAGGCACCTGTAAAAATATTACTGATCCGATGTATGCAGAGTACTACTATCCCCATATAATTGAAGGTACTGTGCGCTGTGTCTCAAGATGTATCAACGGCACTCAAGATTCCATGAACTGCTTCAATGGAGTTTGCCGAGTCTCTGGAATTGGCCCCCACTGCATGTAAGTAAACAGGAGGAGGAGGAGGAGTATCGAAGGAGTCCTTAGATTCTACAACCCACTACTTAAATCTTGAATAGTTACTAATTATAATTGGATACTCTTCCAACTGATTTTTATGATCCATGTATGGAGAATTTTTCTGTCTGTCTGTGTCATGCACAGATTATTTTCTGATTACATGGAAGCTGTCCAAGCAACCAACTGGTGCAGAATGGAGGATCAATTAGAATCTTCCCTAAGGATCTTGGAAATAACTGTGAGAATAGTTCCATAGTGACTCTTTGAGTTCCCTAAAAAGGATTTGGTGAAAGTCCTGAAAGAAATTGCTTCCAAATGGCTTCTCCCTATATGCAGACTCAGGAGCATTTCATGGTTCAACACAAGAGATTCAGAACACTGAAGACATAAAATTAAGAATCAGCACAACTAAAGTTGGGTATGAACCCAAAGTTCTGCTTCCACTGTACAATAAGAAAGGTGTTGTTACTTCTCCAGACTTCATGTATCAGTAGACAATCATTCAAAGACATTAGTTAGGGCATCTCAAACTCTCCTTGGGATAGCAGATGACACGATCTGCCTCACAGCTCCTGCAAAAAGAACATGTGAAGTTTTTATGCAAAATATTGTTTCTTGAGCATTCATACCTGGATCACAGTAATGCTCTTTTCAGTATTTGGGTCTGACTCTGGAGATTATTTGGAAAGTAGAACTGGCCCCAAATGCAACAGAATGCTTACTGATATGCCCAGTTTATTTCAGTAAAATGCCAGACATCTTGCAAACCTTGCTTTGATTCCTGGTATATTTCTGGGTACTTTGTTGTTGGCTGCAAAGCTGTTTATGGTTTGGTTCCTTAATTTCTACAAGCCTATTTCCTCAAAACAGACTTTTCAACCTATGCACTTTATTTGGAAATGTATCGAGATTGAGTTGCTCTCTCTAGATGGTCTGGATGTTGACAGAAAAGCTGGACATTTTTTCCATAGTTATCTCAATTCTGGAATTCTATTTTACTATCTTGAGAAGTTAGGATGGCTCTTTCCTTATTAATATTCCAAAACTAGGTGAAGGCCATCCTCTTACATCGGATACCAGAAGATAGATTGCAGAAATTTGACATCAGCACAGGTCCTGAAAAATGTGGTTTGATGTCTACTGGTATTATATTATTTGGTTTTTATTTTTATTTTATTTTATTATTTTAATTTTATAATTTTTAATGAAGCTTTTCTATTGGGAGTTACCCAGAACCTTCTGAAGTGCACAGCATACAAATACTGTAAAATAAAAAAAATTAAAAAGAAAGAGACCCTTCTTTATCAATTCATTTCTTTTTCCCATAGTTGCAATAATTTGGACATATTCTGGTACCTGGATAGTTACTGCCAAATGCCTGTCCAAAAGACCGCCCTGGGCATTGGTCTTGCCCTGGCTGTGCTCTTTGTGGTCAGTATCATCCTTGTTATTTTTCTCATCAGAGCCAAGCGGAAGAATTCCAAAAATAGGTAAGAAGCATAAGTCCAACATTACAAAATAACTGATAATGGATTTTTATATCTGACTGGGGAGGAAGTTGACATGTAAGAATGCCCAGAAACCCTGAAATGTTTAATATATAGAATAAACAGTTATTCCTAATTATTTAAGGTCCATACGTTTGGTTTGACCAGTGGTGGGATTCAAAATTTTTTACTACCAGTTCTGTGGGTGTGGCCATGTGACTGGGTGGACGTGGCTTTTTTGCTTTTTTGCATCCCCCACTCATTTTGGGGGGAGCTTCCTGGCCTCAGAAGAGCCTCTGGGGGGCATTTTTGCTCCCCTAAGGCTCCTCTGAAGCTCAGGAAGGCAAAAAATGGAGTGTGGGGGGGTGTTGAGCCATTTTTTGCCTTCTTGGGCCTCAGCAAGGGGAATCCTGGTACAGCTGATCTATGTACAGCTGATTGTTGGGAGGGTAAAAAAGAAATAGTTTAGGCGAACGTCAGGCGGGCGGGGTGAGCGAGCATCGGGTGGGAGGGCGACTAGGTCGGGGGTGTGGCCAGCCAGACCTTACTACCGGTTTGGTGACCCATGCCAAATTCTTGCTACCAGTTCACCCGATGCGGTGTAAACCGGCTTAATACCACCACTGGGTTTGACCCATCTTTAATAAGGCCCGTCTGTTACAGGAATAGATAACAGCATCTCCCTTCCAATCCACGCCATTATAAATTCAACCCTACCAGGTTTTCCAGCTTTCTGGGATATTATGCCTTTCAGATAAGACTCCAGCACTTTGTTCCATTTTAGTAGCAGCTGCAGCTCTGATTGGCTGCGATATCAGGTGTGTCTCCTCACTTCCATGGGGTTGCTGCCCTATGCATTGAACCCTAGATTTCCAGGCTGCAATATTCTTCACATTTTTTTAGTAATATTTCAGTCAATAAAGCAATGGCCCATTGAATCAATGAAGTTTACTTCCCTCAGTGGCTACCCTTTCAAGATCTGCTCAGGCCATGTATAACATGCTACTCTTGCGTTCCAGTACCTGCCCAGGGTTGTCCAAAGTCTCCTCTCTTTTTCTCCTGTTTTTTTTCCTTTTAAAAAAACCTTTAAGTTACAATGCTGTATAGGAATATTATTTCATTTATATGAAACTAATCTTCATTTCTGCAAAGCAGAACAATAGTGCTACAATAGGAGGAAAAGGAAAACATGGTCTAATTTATGGTCCAGGGTATGAATATGGGAAGGGGATATGTTATGTGAAGACATCCATGTGGCAAACATATGGAGAAGCAGAGAAAAAGTGCCAGGAGAGAAGAGAGGGAACAAGCCCTAAAAGGAAAATATGGTCACAGGTAGACTGGTCCATGTGGGAGCCAGCCCAATTTGGCTTACCTTCTCTGAAAGAATGAATAATGGAAGCAGCAAAGGGAGGCCAATGGAGTGGCCATTGCTTGCACTGAGCATCAGTCCAATCCTATTGTCAGTCCGCTATAGTCCAGAATTTCTGAAGCTGGCTCAGAAAATGGCTGAGACCAGCAAGGGAAATAATTATTTTGGGCTCAATGCAAAATTGCCTTAACAGATGAAAGAATGCCATTTGGGGGTGGGGGGGGAATGGTTACCCGCAGTGCAAGTGCGTAGTGAAAAGAATAATCTATCCCATGGAAATAAGCTTTACCTTGTGTTTTTAATATTGACCTGCTTTTGTGATTGCAGCTGGTCTGCTGATGCTGACATCTGGTATGGAGAGGATGCAGATGAAGAATGGGTACCTTCAGGTGGTTTGAACATTATGAATACAACAGCAGCCTCATCCTGGGATGGTAATAATTCTTTTTGCCATGAGGAAGATGACATCTGTTTTAAGCACAGGCATCTTAGAAGTTTTCTGTTTGAGGGTCAGGATTTTGGTTTCCAGAGTTTAGACTGAAAGAATAATAAAGTATAAGGAACTGTCATTATGCCCTTATAGACTATAGATAGGATGTTGAGAGTATGTGTGTGACATAGTTATTCTCATGCTATGGGTTGTTTTTCTTTAGAACATCAAGACAGAAGGAAAACCCATCACTTCAGCTAGTAAATACTTCACTGCAGGTGTGTACAGCCCGTTTTCTCTTCATATCAAACAGAAAATACATAATTATCTAAGTTAGAGCATCTCAGTCTGAATGACTATAAAACATGTTGGCTTGAAATTTTGAATGAGCATTTGTGAAGTCTTTGGGCATAATGGAAATAACTATAAAAGGATTTTGAGTAGAGGTAGGGGTTCTTCAAGGATCTTTATTCAGGCTTGTTCTTTTGAAATGGCTCATAAATAATCTGTCCTTAGGGATGATTAGGTGAAGTGGCCAACTTGCAGCTGATACCAAATTATTCAAGATGGCAACACATAAAACGAACTGATTTACTTATTAGAATTGTTTTATGTGATTCATGACTCTAAGTGGGCTACTTTAATACAAAGTGGAATACTCTAAACAATAATGTACAATACATATAACATGGTACAGTAAAATGTATATAGCAACAATAGTAATAATAAATACCATCAATGTAAATTAAAAAAAAAGCAACATCTTGCCATTACATACAACATCAAAAAACCAAATTCATCTCAGTTTATGCACATTTCTTATAGTTATCCCAAACTGAGATCTAAAAAGCCACATTTAAAAAGATTATTTTCAAAATAGCACTAGTATTATCACTTATATATTGCTTTGAAGTGTTTTACAACCTCCTCTTAAGTGATTTATAGAATCATCATAGTTCCCAACAATCTGGGTCCTCATTTTACTGATCTTGGAAGGATGGAAAGCTGAGCCAGTTGAACTGGCAGTCAGTAGAATTAGCCTGCAATACTACATTCTAACCAATGTGCCACCACGGCCCTTTATATTAAGAATGTTAAGAGCAAGAATGCTGTCCTTATATTTGGTGAAAGGGCATCCCACAACTAGGAGCTCCTGAACAGATTCCAAGACTCTTCTTGTTGCACCTCATATAGAGCGGGGACTCTCCCTAGGCATGGCTTGGGTGGGTACATTCTGGTGGGAGTAGGTAGTTTTAAAGACAGCCAGTTCCCAAGCCATATAGGACTGATTAGATGGTCACTAGCCCCTTGAATTGCATCTGGAAACAAACCATTAACCACTGCAGCTTCTGCAGTATTGTTGTTATATGAGAATATAAGGTTTTGGTTAATATGTGAGTTTTGGACTTTGTATGATTTGCAGTTTTTGAATGGTCTTCAGCAGCAGTGTCATGTTCATCACATTACAATAGTCCACTTGGGAGGGTAACAGGACCAGTAGTCACTGTTACTAACACTATTAAAAATATCCCTCAAATGGATGAGCAGGTTCTTCTTTGGACAATATTTATATTTTGTCACTGATAGTGATGTAAAAATGTGTACACCGGACTTCTGGCTGACATCATAGCAAGATCAGACATGAGGAACTATAAAGCCACCCTGTAGGGGTTGTGAAGAAAAGAGGGGCACCCTGTAAGTCATGGAGAGCAGCAACTCTCCTGCCTGATCCAAGGATTCTTCCCTCTCCTCCATAACAAGGAGAAGAGGCAGTCATTATGGCTGCCATGAAACTGGGACAGCCGAGACAACCAAGAAATGTGCAGGAGTGGTATAGATGAAGAGTGACTGGAACTGGGTGACAAGATTCCTTTTTTATTTAGACCCTAACTTTAAGAGAGAAAAAAAAAGGAAAATCCAGGAAAAGAGACTCTTAGAACAACTGTAGAGAGAAAAATCCTAGACCAGAAAGAAAGGAACTAAAGAGAGAAAAGCTAACGACCTTTTAAAACATAGAAAATTGGATTTTTAAACTGGATAGGCATTGTTTTGGAAAGGCATTATTAAATGCTGGAATGATCTACTTGAATCTATTTCAATAGCTGACTTTGCTTCCATAAATTGAACTAAATTTGGATTAATCAATTTATCAGACTTGAAACAATGCTGAAACCTAAGGTGAGGGCACCATCTACTAGTGAATGGAATATACCATACCCCTACAAGTTTAGGAAAGAAATTGATAAGAGAAATAAATAACATTCATCTGGAGGACTGTGGTGATACTCACTATTCTATAATCAGAGGTTCTAGGAGGTTCAGGAGATTCTGACCAGTTCTGGAGAACCAGTAGTGGAAATTTTGATACCACCTCTGATTGGAGATTTTACAGTATCCTTCCCCTGCCACACCCACCAAGCCACATCCACAGAACTGGTACTAAAAAAATTTGAATCCCACCACTGTCTATAAGTATCTACTTTCTGATTATTGGAGATGCTATTGTGAGAATAAGGAATACTCCTAAGTAAAGTGACTTTTGATTTGTGGAAACTGCCTGGACTACTTAAATGGAACTGATTAATAATCCTGAGATGTAAAGAAATAAGATCATTGAACTTTCTAAGGAGCAACATTGGACTGGAATATATTGTTTTGGGACTTGAGTAAGACCAAGACTTATTAAACTAAGACAAAATGCTCCATCAGGCAGAAATGAGTGAGATTTCAAGAGAAATGCATTGATGTTTCAAAGCATTAGGGATACTATGACAAAGAATCACAGAGATATAAAGAACCTAATGCAAGGCATAAATGGGAAAATAGAAAATATGCTATAATTGATAATGAATGAAGATCAAAGAATACAGGAAAAAGAGGATACAGCAGAAAGAATGGAAGAAAAGATAGAGCAGACAAACCAGCAAACAAAGCAAGAAGATGAAAAGTAAAAGACAATAAAGATAATGATTTATGAGAAAAGTACTTTAAGAGATTTAAAAATGGAATTGGATAACCTGGAAGATACTTTTGAAAGGGAGATGGGGTTTGTGTGGATACTCTGGAGACCTGGCAGCCTAGGAGAATAGAGATAGGAGAAATATTTCATCTGAATGGTAAAGACACAGATGCTGATAGAGACAAAGACCCTAGGGAGGAGTATGGGAGGCAAGGCAAAAAATGAATAAGCATTAAAGTATTAAAACGATCAAGAGATGATGGATAGAATGGATTTTTTATTTTTTTTTCTAATATATTGATGGCCTGATCAAAAACTAGAATAGAGGTAGAAATAAGTATACATACCTTTATATGAAGAAATAGTTAGATGGAAAGTGGAGGTTGAAAGATGGTATTATTAGGTATGTTTAAATAATAGGATGACTGGTATTCGAATGGCGTATTGTGACTTTGAACAACCAAATAATGAAGGACTACATCTTACTATAAATATGTGTATTAACACTAGGATTAGTAATGGTGACCTGAAACTAGAATAGAGGTAGAAATAAGAAATAGGGGAAATATTAACAGATATAATTTTTATATAATAGAATATAAGTAATAATTAGATGGACAGATTAGAGGTTGAAAGATGGTATTACTATCTATGCTTATAATATCATTGGCATTAAAATGGAACATTGAAATATTGAATAACTACTCTAAATCAACCATGTATATCAATACTAGGATGTTGTTGTTGTTGTTATTATTATTATTATTATTATTATTATTATTATTATTATTATTGCTGGTTGCATCAAAATGAATCGTACTCAGAGGCTACACAATTCATGTATTGATATTGATGTATATTTAAAAATAAAAATCCAATAAGACTAAAAAAAATGTGCACACTAATTAGTCTGAATCATGTGGCTGATCAGGAAAGAAATCCTGGAATTGTAGTGAATGGCACAGTGAAAGTCACAGTCTAGGGCAGGGGTGTCAAACTCAAAGCCCACAGGCTGGATCCGGCTCATGGGTTGCTTAGTTCTAGCCCATGGGGCTCCCTGGAAGCAGCAAAGGATTGGGCCGTGGTGCTTCTGCCAATGAAAATGGAGCTCGGGAGGGCCAAGCGCAGCTTCCCCAAGCTCCGTTTTCCCTGGCAAAGGGCTGCAGGAGGCCATTGTGGTCAAAAATGGAGTCTCGATGAGTGACGTTGTGCTGGCCACCCGGGCCACAACCCCCTACCCCCAAGGTCAAACATAACCCTCATGTGACCCTCAAAGAAATTGAGTTTGACACCCCTCGTCTAGGGTATATCAGTTTTCTGATTCATTGATAGATTCTAAGTTTAAAGCAACCTGCCTGGGCAGCCAGGAACTATGTGGTTTTCTCTTCTACTACAGTTTGGAAAGTCTCAGAACTTTTGACTAGATTACTGGTCACATTCCACTTGATTTAAGTTGTATATTATTTTAAGAGTTAATATCCTTATGTCATACTTCGTTTTGAATGAATAGTAAACTGTCAATTTATATTTCTTTTTTGTGATTGCATTTCCAGAAGTGAACTGAATTTTATCATGGGACATATCCTGAATCTTCCTCTTGAGTAGCTGTTGAATAGTTAAATTAGCATCCTAACCACTGTACCAAAGTATACCAGTAATCTGGTGTATCTAATAAATGGCATTACTAAAGTCTACCTTCCCAATTGTCTCAGTTCTTAAATCATCAGCTTATTAATAAACCAAAGAAACAGCCGAAAAAGATATTGAGTGCGACAGTCAATTAAGAACATTGAAATTGCTTGAATAAACAGTTTTATATTATATTTCATTGAAGAGGGAAGGAGTTTATGGCTGTTTCTTTAACATGATTTAGATCCCTCTGATCTGAATATATATTGTTTTTAAACTTGGTACATGATATCTGATTTGCTTTTTCTAAAACTGTATTAAACTTAATATAATTGAGTGAATTACAATAATCCTTCTGTAAATGAATTCTTCTATAGATTGATTAAAGAAATTACAAAGCCCCAATTTTTCATACTTCTTCTGTTGCTTTAATTGCATTAAATTAATTAAAGATGTGTACTTAAATAAAAAAAATAACTTATTTTATTTAATGGTTTTAAAATAATTTAAACATCCAGTTTACTGTGCTGGTTAAGGTGCTGGCCTAGAAACTAGGAGACTGAGAGTACTATGCCTCCCCTGAAACATGAAAATTGCCTGGGTGACTTTGGGCCTTTTCTCTCTCTCTCATCCCAACCCACCTCAGAGCACTGTAATGCAGAAAAAAAGAAGCTAAAATGTTAGGTATGTTTTCTGTGTTGAGTAGTCTGTCTGTCTGTCTCCTCCCCCAACACATTCACACACACACACACACATATACATACACACAGAATAGCATTTAATAATAATAACAACACTAGAAATCTCTACTTTACAATATGTCTTCAAGGATATGGCTGGCAGAAGAAGTGATAGTTTTAAAAAGATTACTTAATTCGAGCTCAGTTTTTCCAAGCCTGATGCTAATAAAACTGCCTTGGCCGATCAAACAGTAGCACTAATAAAAATCTGGTGACTAGAGCCTGGTTCTCAGCAAACTATTTGGTAATTGAGGAATATGTAATGTGTAAATATAACAAAGCAAAAATAATATGTTAGTTACATATAACTAAACTCAGAAAAAATGTCATTAATTGTATATAATTAAGGCTTAATATTCCCATAAAGGTTGGTTATTTACTCAATATTGTTATTTGATAGTTAATACAATTTGTTGTATATACTATTTTTGCAGGGGTGGGCTTTAAAAATTTTAGCAACTAATTTTCTGCCCAGTTGCTGGGTGAGCGTGGCCTGGGCGGGCATGGCCTACTCGGCCTCCTGCATCATGGTGGGGGTGGATTTTCATCCTCCCTGGGCTCCAGAGGCTTTGCTTGAGCCTCCGGAAGGGTGAAAACAGCCTCTCCGGGCTCCAGAGGCCCTCTGGAGATCAGAAATAGGCCCATTTCTGGCCTTCCAGAGCCTCCAGGAGGCCTGTTTTTCACCCTCCCTGAGCTTCTGCAAGGGCCCTGCACTTACCTGGCATCCAAAATGGGATACGTGGAGACTGCTGGGAGAGGCAGGGCAGGGTGGGTGGGGCCAGCCAGGGGTGGGATTTGCCAGTTCACTGAACTAGCCATAAAATGGCGATAAAATTAGCTATGGATTTTCCCGAAACGGGGATAGTCGGTAGCAGCCCATCCTGTATTTTTGTTATTCACATCAAGAATATATGTATTTTATATAGGAGTCAAAGTTTAAGAAGGAATGGTAGCAATGTTTGTGAAATAATACACTAAACATAACAAAATTCATGACACTCAACATGAAAAAAATCAAATTTAAAAATAAATAAATTTGGAGATCATTACATGGAAATTCTATGGAAATTGCAACTTTGTTCTCTTTCTTTCAGTGGGAATTCAATAGATGATTTTAAGGAAGTCACTTTATTGGATATAACTAAGACATTCTGGATAAGCACAATATTACTGTTTTAACAATAATATTTAAACATTTTTCTTTTTAAAGCAATGTTATAAATCTTGATAAATTGTATTAAAAAGGAAGTAAGAATAATAAAAATTATCAGTTATTTACTTCCCAATTTTTATATATTTGCTGATTTGCAATGTTTGTAAACATTCAGGATCCCTTAAAAACAACACCTTTAAATGGTTATATTTACTCTGCTGTGTGGTTTGCTATAGTTTCTCTCTCAAATATTTTTATGATGGAAACAATTAAAGTTAGAAAAATACAAATGTGGTTCACTCAAACTTTATGAGCAAATTAAAAGCATAACAAGAACTATTTAGTGAAGAGTAGGATATATCATGATTGATATACTTACACATAGCTGGAAGGATAAAATTAAATATCAAAAAAGAAGGAAGATTTAGAAAAACAAGACAGAATTCAAAATCCCCATTCAAAAATAGCAGCATCTATTAGGGTGTGTGTATGTGTGTGTGTGTGTGTGTGTGTGTGTGTGTGTGTGTATAAACAGGAAGTATGCAAATGTAGGCATCATATAGAGCAGGGGTGTCAAATTTAATTTCATTGAGGGCCGCATCAAGATTGTGGTTGACTTTGGGGGGCCGGGGTTGGCTTGGTTGGGGTCGGTGTGGCCATGGTGAGCATGGCCATAGTGGGTGTGGCCAGATCTTACTGCTGCTGTGCTCACTCTCTTTGGCCAAGTTGCTCATGGTGTATGCAATGTGTGTGGGTCAGTGGGAGGCTCACTTCATCTCCTTATGAGGAGACCTGGCCTTGTAACCAAAGCATCCTTAGTGATAGGATGGGAGACCACCAGGAGAGGTCAGGAGGAGGGGACAAGGGGATGGCAAAAGGCAGCAGGGCTGCAGTTGGCCAAGTGCTAAGGCAGGATTTACCAGACCCTCATTATAATCTTCCTTCCTTCCTTCCCTCCCTCCCTCCCTTCTTTTTCTTTCTTTCTTTCTTTCTTTCTTTCTTTCTTTCTTTCTTTCTTTCTTTCTTTCTTTCTTTCTTTCTTTCTTTCCTTCCTTCCTTCCTTCCTTCCTTCCTTCCTTCCTTCCTTTTCTTTCTACTTCCTTGCCCTCTTTCCTTCTTTTTTCTTCCTTGTTCTCTTCTCCTCTTTCCTTGTCCTGTTTTTCCCACTTGAAATAGCTGTTTGGAACACATAACACTTCAAACAATACGGCTGGCACACACAAGCAAGCAACGTACTTGAGCCACAGATGGCATTGGTTCCTGCACCTGTCCAATTCAGATTCCATGGCCAGCCTTACTGTTTGTAGGCTGAATGAAGCCTTCAACCGAGTGAGGAAGTACTATGGGGCCAGGTCCTTCACACCTATGTCCAGCCTCATTTGTAACTCCAGCTTGCAAGTATTTTTAATCTAATGTTTGGCATTTAGGGCAGCTTTTTGTGAGCAAAAAGCTTGCAAAAAGTATTTTTCCACAGTTAATCCTTGACTCATTTAGTTCATTTAGTGACCAAAGTTACAATGGCACTGAAAAAGTGACTTATGACAGTTTTTCACACTTACGACCATTGCAGCATCCCCATAGTCATGAGAGGCCAGGCAAGGAGAAGCACCCCTCGATGTGAATGAGGTTGAGTTGGCCACACCCAGCCAGTCACACCCACCAACTAAGCCACAGCCACAGAAACGGTTGTTAAAAATTTTGAATCCCACCCCTGCCCAGCCCCCATGCTGAAGAGGAAGAGCAAAGACTGGACCAGAGAAAACTGGGAAGAATTCCAGGAAGACTCCCAAGAAATCCAGGTGGGACCCTGCCAACACAACCAGACAAGGGGGAGACATTCACCGAGGAAGAGCATCTGCAAGTCACAGACAACAGTGATGATGAGGGGGACCAAGATCTGACCTTTCGTGGTCCCAGTGTTTCACAGCCCCTGGAAGAAGGGCTCTGTTGTGGAGTGTTCGAGGCATTGATTGTCTCTGGGTGCACCTGATGTTTGATTAGCTTGTCGGCAGTCAATGAGCTAGGGGTTGGGACACGGCTGTTGGCCAAGCCACTGCAGTTCAAGCAGGCAGATGGGTCCCTGCTGGGAGGAGCCCCTGCCACCCACATCATAAAGCCCATAAGGTTGGATATGGCTATGCACTGGGAGCTGATCCACTTCGTGGTTGCATCAACTGAAGCAGTGATCCTGGGCTTGGCCTGGTTGGACAAATGGGCCCAACTATATGGGAAAGTGGATACAGGAAACTGAGGATAGTCCAGGCCCCTTCCCTCCACCACACGAGCACATTTGTAGGGGGACGATACGCACTAGAGAGCCAGTGCATCAGAGAATTGGGAGCCTCCCATACCCCTTAGAGTACACTGATCTAGCAGACGTGTTCAGCGAAAAAAGTGTGATGTTCTGCCACCTCACCAGTTGATGGATTGTGCTGTTAGATTATTCCCAGGGTGAAATTGCCCAAACCCAAAATGTACTCAATGACTCCCTGAGAACTGGAGGAGCTGCGGGAATACATTGACAAGAATGGCCAGAGGCACATTCTTGGATCACTGTCACAGTGTTGTTTAAGGAGAAAAAAGATGGGTCAATGCACGGCATGTGTATTGAACACATGCACAATGGCATGTGTATTAAAAACATGTACCTGCTACCCCGATGAAAGACATGTTGGCCCACCTTGCTAGAGGTAACATCTTCATTAAGTTGGACCCATGGGATGCATACTACAGGGTTCACATAAGGGATGGGGATGAGTAGAAAATGGCCTTCAACTGCCCCCTGGGGAGCTATCACTTTAAGGGGATGTCATTTGGATTGCAGGGAGTCCCTACAGTATTCATGCAACTTGTCAATGAGGTGCTGCATCAGCACCTATACAAGGGTGTATTGGTTTACCTGACTGATATTTTAGATTTTATGGAGACCAACTGGTCTGGCAGGTGTTGAAAAAATTACTCGTGGCATATCTGTATATAAAACTGTCAAAGTGTGAGTTTCATCGCACCCATTTGGATTATTTGGGTTACCGGATATCCAGCGGGGTGGGTGGTGGTGGAGATAGATCCCGCCAAGGTGAAAGCTATTCTGGAGGGACAGGCTCTCAGGATGCGTAAGCAGTTGCAGAGCATCCTGGGGTTTGCAAACTTCTATAGGCAGTTTATACCCTCATTTGCTCAAGTGGCTTTG